TAAAAAATGGGGCACTGACCTGAACAGAGAATTCTCAACAGATGAAATTCAAATGGCTAAAAGACACTTAAGGATATGCTCAACCTCCTTAGCGATCAGGGAAATGCAAATCAAAACAACTTTGAGATATCATCTTACACCTGTCAGAATGGCTAAAATCAAAAACACCAATGATATCCTTTGCTGGAGAGGTTGTGGAGAAAGGGGTACCCTCATCCATTGCTGGTGGGAAATGCTTTCTAACGATTGGTTTAACTCAGTCTTATTTTCTAGAAATATAAGCTTATATGGTTTAAAGAAAAGTTGTTTGTTGTAAGAGGCTGCTTGTTTGTTTCCCAGCTGCCTGGCAGCTCAGACCTGAAATAACCACACAGAAACAGTATTACTTAAATCACTGCTTGGCCTATTAGCTCTATCTTCTTATTGGCTAACTCTTACATATTAATTTAACTCATCTCCATTAATCTGTGTATCTCCACAAGGCTGTGGCTTACTGGATAAAGTTCTTGTGTCTGTCTCCGTCGGGACTACATTGCTTCTCCTTACTCTGCCTTCTTTCTCCCAGCATTCAGTTTAGGTTTCCCTGCCTAGCTCTACTCTGCCCTACCTATCAGGAAAAGCCAGTTTTCTTTATTCATTAACCAATAAAAGTAACAGATAGACAGAAGGACCTCCCACATCAGTTATTAATCTTGGTATGCCTATCAATGTCTGTCATTCTAGTAGTTGAGAGACCAAAGCAGGAGAATCACAGAATCACAGCAAGTTTGAAGCTAACCTGGGATACACAGTGAGCTCCTACAAAAATGAATAAATAAATAAATAAGAAAATAAATAAATAATCAAAATATTTTTAAAAGAATTTACAAATACACATCTGTGTGAAGAGGGTTATTTTGAGCTGATTGAGGTATTTCTATTTTTAAGTATGTTATAGAGGCTTGTGTATAAGTCTTTATAGACAAGGACATTAGATCCTTGGGGGAACAGTGAAAGTTTCTTGGAGGTAGGGATTCAACTCATCTGATCTATTCCTATCTGTCTGTCTGTCTATCTATCTATCTATCTATCTATCTATCTATCTATCTATCCATCCATCCTCTCTCTTTCTCTCTCTCTCTATCATCCACAAATCTCTCTCTCTCTCTCTCTCTCTCTCTCTCTCTCTCTCTCTCTTTCCTTCAACACTGGTAAAAGTAGCAGCTATTTTTAAGTCTGTTATGCTGGGAGCGGCCAAGTGACTTTTGGTACAACTAATGCATCACAATAGCTCATGAAGCTCCCTCTAGCAACCAGCTTCCCACTGTCACTCTCTACCCTCTTCTTTTAAATTGATTAGCATCTTAACTAACTCAGAACTTTAAAACTTTCTTCCATAAACTGTTCTAACTGTACTCCCCCCTCTCAGTTACTCTCTCATTCTTTATATCATTCACGAGGACAGTTCTTATCAGTTTACTTCTGTTTATTGACTTTTTCATTTGGTTAAGAATCCTCTACAGTCCAGTGTCACACTTACAAGGCTATATACTTGTGTTATATATGGTTTCACATGCACTTGGGAGGTGGGGTGGAGACAGGGGGAACCAGGGTACAAGGTCATCACAAGTGATGTTGTGAGCTCAAGGCCAGCTTGGGTTACATTACACACCTTCTCAATAAACCAACTTTCCTCTCCAAACAATAACAATAAGAAGACCATACCCCCACACACAGAATTATTTTTCACTAATTCATCCATTCGAAATCAAGGTTGATCCATTATTGCATTTGCATTTATATTTTGTCATGATAACTCTTTTACTGAAGCACTCGATTAACAAAACCTTCAATAGCTTACAGTCAAGATGAAGGAAAGAATGGATGTGAAAGGACTACTGGTCCACACTTCATCTAAAGCATCTACAAAACTCCAAGTCTTATGTCACAGCTAAAACACACTGGCTGTGGGGTACATATGAGCAAATAGGTCATATTCGTATGGGAAACATTTAGACCAAGTTTTTAAGCATGGCAACTTAGAGCAAACAGATAGGAGGTTGAGCATAGAAGAGCAGTGACAAGAACAAGCACTGGGGTCTGAAGACTAGCAGGTTCAATGGTGGCCTCAGATCCTGGAGACAGGTGACACATGCCATTGCCTTTGTCCTAGGGATCTCCAGGAACTTGATGACAGCACCCAGCTCCCCCTACTTTGCCACTTCTCAGAAACAGCTGAAGGACTCACCACTATCCGGGCCTTCAGGTGAGTAACACATCTTCAAATTGCCCACAAGGGGAAAATCCACCCACAGATGTGTATCAACAGATAATAGCTAACTGCCACCCCTTCTGGGGGTGCACTTGTTTCTCCCAGTGAACTACACCATGACAATAAGAATGGACATTGCTTAAAGTTTCTCATGCGACAATTTAAGAGTAAAGAATGAATTGATAGAGTGGAAAGAATTGGCTGTGTGGTCTAGACAAGGTTTTCTAATTCCAAAGCCTCCACATCCTCATCTGAAAAATGGGGGATTGGTCTTGCTTATTATGACCATTGGAATGATTGACATATGCATGTAAGTCAGTCTTGCTTATCACAGACATTGGAAGGACTGGCATAATACATGTAAGTCAGTCTCGCTTCTCGTTTTCAACCCGAATCTTTATAGATTTTGATGGTATTCATAACTTTTCTCCTCCTGTTAAAGCAAGAACAAAACCCCTTCCCCAATGTAGCACATCTCCTGGCTTCCATTGTGAGGTCAACACATCCTTGAAATACACCAGCTGATTTAATTCAGAGACTTTCCTATTATCCAATGTCTTCCTCCTGCTGTTGTCCCTTTTGCTAAGAAAAGCCTCTCTGCCAGCACAAAGGAGTCTAATCAGATCAGACTGAACCAAATTAAATGTCTGAGTTTAATAGACAGCACACTCCCAGGTAACCGGGAGCATGGCAGGGGGAAGACAGAGAGACCGCACACCCAAATCCAAAATGACCTGTTCCTTTTCTCGGCACAAGCCTAAATACCCAGTGGGACTGATCCTGACCCCCGCTCTGGGAGGAGTCAGTGCTTGGCAGGCTGGGAGTTGGAGTCCAAGTGCTTGGAAGGCTGGTGCTTAAAGTCCAAGCACGTGGCAGGTTGAAATTTGGAGTTCAAGTGCTTGGCAGGCTGGGGTGACACTTCCAAACCAATATTATACCTTTCTCATTAGCGTTAAGAAAATTCAAAGTTAATGAAGCATTATGTAATCTATTTCTGGGAGTATTTTCCAGCCCTTTCTGTTTGTTTAACATATCCTTTATAGTTTGATTTGATCTTTCTATAACTGCTTGACCTGTAGGATTGTATGGTAGACCTGTAATATGTTTTATATTATATTAAGCAAAAAAATGCTTCATTTTCATAGAGACATATGCTGGACCATTATCTGTCTTTATTTGTGCACGTATACCCGTGATGGCCATAACTTCTAATAAATGTGGGATTACTAAATCAGCCTTTTCTGAGCTCAGGGCAGTTGCCCATTGAAAACCTGAATATGTGTCTATGGTGTGATGTACATATTTTAATTTTCCAAATTCTGCAAAGTAGAACATATCCATCTGCCAGATTTATTTTTTGAATACCTTTTAGGTTAGCCTCTGAAGGTAGTCATGTTTAGTTAAAGAAAGAGCAAGTAGGACATCTCTTTATAATCTCCTTAGCTTGGTACCATGTAATAGAAAACTCTTTCTTTAAACCTTTGCTATTGGCATGATGTTTCTTACAGAATTCTGAGGCCTTCAACATACTTCCAATCAGTAATTGATCAATTTCTGCATTATCTTGTGCTAGAGGACCTGGCAGACCCATATGAGATAAGATGTGTGTTATGTATATTGGACAAAGCCTATTCCTGATTATATCTTGAACCTGTATGAATAATGAAGTCAATTCTATATTACCTGGTATAAATTCAGTGGTTTTAATATGCAAAGACAACTCTTTCTGCATATTGTGAATTAGTAACTATATTGAGAGGTTCTTTAAAATCCCTTAGCACCATAAGAATAGCATATAATTCTGCCTTTTGAACAGAATTATAAGGGCTTTGCTCCACATTACTTAAATCTTCTGATTTGTAATTTGCATTTCCTGATTTATTTGCAACAGTATAAAATGTACAGGCTTCAGTTACTGGTGTGTCACATACAATTCAGGGAAGAATCCAAGTAGTTCTCTTTATAAGGTTAATTCTATCACTTTTGGGATAATTGCTATTAATCTCTCCTAAACAATTAGCACAAGTTCTTTGCCAAGATTCATTGCCTTCCAATAACTTTTTTAATTTCATCAGTTGTAAAAGGCACTATAATCTCTGATGGGTCTATACCTGCTAGTTGATGAAGTCTCAACTTTCCTTTTATAATTAATTCAGAGACTTTTTCCACAAAAGATTTTAATTTTTTATTTGGCTTATGTAGTAATAATATCCGTTCTAAGATAATATCTTCCCTTTGCACTAAAATTCCTATAGGGGAAATTCTGAAAGGCAATATGACTAAAATGAAATTAAGATTTGGATTCACCCTATCCACATGTGCCTCCTGTAATTTTTCTTCAACAACAATCAATTCCTTTTCCCCTTCAGCTGTCAGTTTTCTTGGACTATTCAAATCTTTATCACCATCTAAGGTTTTGTTTAAATGAACTATTAGATCAGGTGTTATCCCAACAGCTGGTCGTAGACTGGAAATGTCTCCTAACAATATTTGAAAGTCATTCAGAATCCACAATAGGTTTCTCCTAATTTGTGCCTTTTTTTCTTATAATTTTCTGAAAACCTATTTTATAACCTAGGTAACTGACAGACTCTCCTCTCTGTATTTTTTCAGGAGAAATTTATAATCCCCATTTTGTCAAAACTTTTTACCCCTTCAAGCATTCTAAAATATGTTTGGATCAGATAGCAAAATGTCATCCATGTAATGGTAAATTATAGACTTAGGAATTTCTTGTATATTATTTCCAATGGCTGACTTATAAAGTATTGGCGTAGGGTGGGGTTATCAAGCATTCCATGTGGAAGAATCGTCCACTGGCTGAGAATTATTGTAAGTAGGCACTGTGAAGGCAAATTTTTCTCTGTCCTTTTCTTGTAAGGTATAGTGAAGAAACAATCTTTCAAATCAATAACTATAAGAGGCCATCTTTTTGGTAATAGAGAAAACTGAGGAATTCCAGATTGGAGAGGGCCCATAGGCTGAATTATTTTGTTGACAGCTCTTAGATCTGTCACCATTCTCCAATTACCAGATTTCTTTTTAACAACACAAACAGGAGAATTCCAAGGGCTGGTTGATTCTTCAATATGGTGAGCATCTAGTTGCTCCTGTACCAGCCTTTCTAAAGCCTGCAGTTTGCCTTCTGTTAATGGCCACTGTTGAACCCATATCGGTTTCTCCATTAACCATTTTAAAGGTAGAGCTGTTGGTACCTCTAAAGGTTTGCTAGTTGCTTTGTGTTCTTGTATAGCCTGAATGACTGGTGACCTTTGTGTATAGTACCTTATAATATCCTTCCCAGAATTATGAGTTTCTGGGACTGCAGAAATGTTAATCTGAGTATTCTATTGCTGCAGCAGATTATGACTCCATAAATTCACTTTAATATTAGCCACATATATCCTCAGCATTCCTCTCTGTCCTTCTGGCCCCATGTGCTTTGTTTCATTTGAGATAGGGTTCCAATTACTAGTAATTGAACATCTGCCTCTAGAAGAAGCAAAGATTCTGGAGTAATGTTTTAGGTGTAATAATCTTTATTGTCCAGCCGGTGTCATGGTTGCAGAGTCGCGACTAGTGGCACAACCTGGTGCCATGAACAGTCCTGAGCTGCTTTGTTTTTTTCACCTTGGTTCTGGTTAAATACTAAGAAATATTCTTTGCTTGACAAATTAAAAGCAATTAAATCAATTCTGTATGAAGAGCAAAAAGCCCAGAACTCAAGAATGGGGAATACAAACTAGAAGCTGTGCAAGTTGCCACCTGGCAGAGAATGTGGCAGGGAATGCGGCAGTGGCAGGGGGTGTGCAAAAGCTTGGGAAATTTCCAAGTCACCACAAGCAGTTAGCTTCACTGTGGTGGAGGTTTTACAAAAATCCCCTTAGGTAAATGCAAGCCAGGCTGGTGGGGGTGGAAGACTTTCTGGACTGTGGGCAGGTTAGGCCTTTAAGCCAGTTTACTTGGTAGGTGTGGAGTTCAGATCCACGTGGGGTGCCAGATGAAGATGGATGCTTAAAAGAAATTCCACGCTAGCTCAGAATGGAGTATAATAGAGTGTTATTTATTTAGGGGTAGACCCACAGATTACAGTCCTCTGCATGAACAGGGAACAGGAACTGAATCACATTGCCAGAAGAGCAGTTGGACATGTGCTTTACCTCAGCATATATAGTATAAGAGGCCACTCCCAAGAGGATGGGTAACTTAAAGGCTACTGGCTGTAGGAATTTCTACAGCAATTCTAAGCTTCCTAAGTTCAAGGTCAGCCTGAAATCTGTGAGACCATATTTCAAGAATACAACAAAGCAAACAACAAAGAAAGCAACCCATGTTTATTGATGTTTGTGAACAGTAATAACTAAGCTTCCATGAAGCTGGCTCCATTTTCCTGAGGTTAGATCATAAAAGTGGTGTTACTGTGCATTTCATTTGCTCTGGAAAGTTTATGTTTTAAAGCACTGTATCTTCTCTCAACCCTATTACAAATATGCACAGACTTCAATCATAGATTTCTCCAGCCTCAGAAGTTTATGTTAAGAAGGTAGAAATGGGTTATAGGGCAGAACATGAAGGTGCAACTTTCCACAGCGTGATGTATGATAGGATTGCTACCTGAATCTATATGAGTTTAATTTACCCCACCCATATTTCACATCCTGGCATGCTTTCTCAACAAAGGTGGTAATACCTCTTCCTGGGAATTTCAATATTATTTATTGGTATTGAATATATAGATACCGACATCAAATTTATAGTCTAATAGTATGCAGTAGAGACCATTAACAAATATAGCATTAATGATTACTGTTGACATCAAGTAAGTCTTTTCTAATTAGTTTGTATGGAAATATTTATTTTAATAGTTAATACACACCAAGTACTATTCTAGATGTAGATTAGTAAAGACTGAATATATGTGGCCATTTATTTTCACCCCAATTACTGGTTGGGCTCTTCTTTAGCCAACATGTGACCTTATTTTATTTCCTTTATGAATATTTATATGAGTATATTTTCATTATCTGTTTTATTAAAAACATTTGCATGTTAATTATTCAATCTCTTCCGACCAGAAAATGAGTTCTGAGAGAGCAGGATTTTGTTTTCATAGTAAGTTTACAGTGATTTGGGAAATGTCTATATAGTCAACTAGTGGGCTAGTTTAGGCTCCATCCTACGGAGTCACCACACAAGAGAGAGGGTTTAAAGACAAAGATAACAGTATAGTGACATCTATGGAGTCACTACACAGACAACTGTTTTCAAAGGGTTGGGTAGGCACCTTGTATCTAAATAAGATGGAAGCACCTATAGGACAATGGGCCTTTGAATGAAGAACAGTTGAGCTGGAAGGAAAGTGGACAGTGCATTCAGAGGGAAAGGCATGAAGATTTCTATTTCATGTAAAAATCAAACCGAGTATTAAATGGACACAGTGATGGAGGTCATCACCATGAAGTTTGAACACAAGGGGGATGATGCTAACAGATACTGAATGAGTGCCTCTGTATGGAACTTGGACTTTATTCTTTCCGTGTTGTGGAGTTGTTGAAGAATCTCAACAGGAATCTGATCTAATCAACGTTGTATTAATTAGAATAACTGACTCATAAAGGATTAATCAGGATTGCTGAGGCTAGAGGTAAGAAGATGCTAGGAGGCTGTTGGAACAATAGTATTATAAGATGCATCATTGTGATGGACTGGTCCTCCTTTTCAGAGACTTTAGACATGAAATAAGGCCAAATACCACTTCTTTGGGAATATCTCATCTTCCTACCAAGGGAGAGCAATTCAGACCAGTTGAGAACCTAAACCACATAAAGAGGTAAAAGCTCAGGACAGTGGGAAGTGTTTAATTACCTGAGAATTTCACAAAAATAAAGAACTGATCAGAAAGGTTCTGTGCAGCTTGAAAAATAATGGTTTTTGACTACAATCAGACAAGTGAGCTTGTTAAAATTTTGAATAAATGACAGTGATAAAAACACAAAAGAATACAAAGAAATAAAGGTGTTCTCTGGATAAGAAACTCCAGTGCTAGTGATGCCCTTAACAAGAACAGAACTGAAGTCAGAATTTGGGGGGCTGAAGGGTTAACTACACGTGCACAGCACATGATTTCCCATATCTGCTTCTTTCCATGTCTACTCAGTGTTCCCTGGGCCATCTCTCTCTCAGAGTCATCTTTACTGATTGGATCTTGTGTTCTCTCTGCTCTCAGGACTCAGGGTGCACTCACACGAAGCAGTGAACCTCTAGTCATTTACAAGGAAAGTATTGCAGCTAAATTAGACTAAGTTGTCAGTGACCTTTGCCATTGCTTTATTATTATTTTTCTGTCTGACAGAATAGAGGTCTAAGAATGTTCAGAAGATGGGCTGGATGCGAATGAAAAGATACAGGCTGAGTGTGTCAAAGTTTCCATTAGGAAAACAGCAGGTTTCTTGCCAAATAGAAACAGAGAAAGAATGCTCACGGCACTTCACCCCTCCTTCTCCCTGCTGCTTCAGGCTGTTGCCAGTTCCCTACAAACGTGTGGAGTGCTGGAGATGAAACTCCACAACCACAGCAGGAAGAAGGTCCCAGAGTGAGCATGCTGACAGAACCAAGGTTTAGTTTTTTCATTTAGACTACAACTCCCAAGCTTTGAGCCTCCTGGATGCGTTTGTCCAGTGGGGAGAGAAAACTGCCCCATCCAGGAAGGCACTGGATTTCCTCACTTCTGTGTTGTCTCTTGTCATTCGGGTACTTACAATGCCTTGTTCACCTGAGGAGCCCAATGTCATCCCCTAAAACCACACTGGGTATCTTCCCTGTGCTCTGCAAAGCCTGGCTTAGGCCTTCCCTCTCCCCACCCTCTACCTAGGGTACCCTATTCAGATCTTGCAATGTACATTTCCCCTTTATGTTCTTGGGGCTATTAAAGGAAGGTTCCCAGCTGCACCAGCCTCACTACTTAGTACAGTTTCTCCCACCCTGAGAAAGACATTAGGTGTCTCCGGAATCTAGCACAGCGTGGAGAACAACCACTGACTAAATGCATTGAGTAAATAGATGGAAATATAGCCGACATCTCCCTAGCGAGCACTGCCACCTGACATGCCCCTGGCATGCACAGAAGTGTGACCCTTACAAAAAATTCTTCACAGTTTGTCGCCCCTGTTGCTGTAATCCTACAACCTCCTACGCCCTTCACGGATTAGTAATTCACTATAGTCACCTGTCAAGGTCATCTGGAAGGCAGATGTGTTCCTTGAACAGCTTAGTCCCAAGCCATAGTGCTGCTGTTCTTCAGCACAGGTCCCCCTGGACGTGGCATTTAGTTCAAGGCTACATAACTCAAAGTGAAGTAATGGTTTGGCTCTCACTCCCAAATTATCTGATCACTGTAGAGCAGACGTTGCTGTCTGACCAAATTATCTATCTGGCTTGGCATTCTGGAATGATCAGCTTGATTGGAGAGATACCAAGTATCTGCTTTATATTGGCTTGAATGGACTCTGATGGTGGGCCAAAAACTACCCCACCCAGGACTTCTCTGTCCTTTGATACAAGTGATGAGTTATTTAAGTTTTGCAATTTTACTGGAAGATTTTACAGGAGTGGGGGCCTCTTAGGAAACGAGACTTACTAGTGGGTCAGAAATTCCTTACAAACATGACCCCTGGATGGGTTATGTCAAAGCAGCCATGGCCACAGAGTGGGCAGAAGCAAACTCAACTGGGCGTGTAACCAACGTTCAAACCAGTTCTTTTCCAGCCCTCTCTTGTTTCCATTATTTGAGGAAAATAATTTCAAAATATGGATACTTTTGCTATTTAGAAAAGATGCTCTTCAGCATGTATGTCTGTGAAATCAAACCGCTGATGTTCAAGTACATAAGGTTCTTCTTGGTTTCTTAAAAAATTTACACTTCATGTATTCTTGATGCATGGTAGTACATAAGGTTGGGACGTAGGGTGAAACACGCTTATACACAATATATGCTTCCATGAAGGCTGTTTCTAGTTCTGCTCATAAAACAGACTATACAGGCCTTTATTTGATTATGTTGAACAGCAAGGATGAGCTTAGTTTTTTCTGGATCAATCTCTCTATTACCATGACCATTAGAGTGAGAACCCTGCCCAGCCCTGGATGATGGCAGACTTTCTTTCATGTCACTTGGGGTACTTACAATGCCTTGTTTACCTGAGAAGCTTAGCTTCATCCCTAAAGATACTTGTCTGCAGACTTGACAATTTATAAGCTTAGGGAGAGGGTCCTGCTTTCTTGTGCTCCTGCCTCCTTCAACAAATCCTGCCATCATCATGCGCCACCACAACCGACTGAGAGGATGAGCCTGAGTCTCTGCATTGTCACACCTGCAGTCAAAACCGTGCCTTAGGATTTGTAATCCCCAAAGCCATTGGCTAAAGGGATCGAAATCCCACAACAAGGGACCTTACAGATGACTGGCTCAGCACAAGGTCTGCTGACGATGACCCTATGAGCACGAAGGAATATGTTACCTGCTATAGATGCCCAGCTTTCTGTCTTCACCAGTTCTCATCCAGCCCGACTCAATAGCATTAGGAAAATTAAATAAATGCTTCAAGTGACAGTAGGAGATGTTGTGATTTCTGTAGCCCTTGTGACATAGGCCAGGTCTTGTTTACATGGCTCCTCCAATCCTGCAGAATTGTGAAGCACCCTTTCATAAGGGTTTGCCTTGGCAACGGCTTCTATTCCTAGTTGTGGCATGAAAAGAGAGCAAACACTTGCCGTCTTGGGCTCCATCCAGAACGCAGCAGGGTGGCTCTGGAGTTCACTTACCACTCGTCCATCCCATCCACGTGTCACTCTGTTGAGCAAACTGTGTGGTAGTTAAGCACGTCTGGCTTTTTTTCTACTTCTCCTGCTAGGTGGCTAACATCATTGTGGGCTTTTGTTTTTTGCAGGCATGAAACCAGATTCAAGCAACGCATGCTAGAGCTGACAGACACAAACAACATTGCCTACTTATTTCTCTCAGCTGCCAACAGATGGCTGGAGGTCAGGACGGTATGTTCATTGTGTTCCAGACACTTGGTTGAATTAGCTTTCCTCTGAGAGTCAGTACCAGCCTCTGTTGTCTGGACTTTTCGGTTTGTTTATGTTCCAAATGAAATTTAACTTATCACAATGCTTTCGTCAGTCACAACAAAAGTAGCCCCCAAGGCAAAAATTATTCTGTGTTGTTTTTTATAGTCTCTGAACTACCCCAGTTAATGGGATGGTAAATATTTATATAATGTCAGTTTTTAAAAGAGAGAATTTGAAAAGTGACCACATACACTCATGTCCTTGGCTGAGCCAGATAGCCTGTAAGGAATGGTGACTTTGTTTTAAGCCAATGGAGGGTTACGTTAGTACAAAACATCAATGACTAAGTCATCTATTGCTGTCTTCCATCCTATGTGACACGGAGAAACAAACACAGACTTTGGCAGTCTATAGACATCATATACCAGATTAATTTCTTTCACTCCCAGATTCCCCTGCATTTATAAAATAGGAGTAAGAATGTACTTCATGGACATGTTACTAAAATAACACGGAAAATGGCATAATTTCCCTAGTGTGCTGCTCTGGCTTGACTTGTTATTATGTGATAAGATGTCCTGTCAAAAGACAGCTTAGGGGAGAAAGGGGCTTTTTCCAGCTTATGATTCCAGATTACTGCCCTTCATTTTGGGAAGCTGAGGCAGAAACTCCAAATATCTAGTCATATGGTAAGAGTAAAAATAAACACATTCATATATGCTTGCTCACTTGCTGACGTGTAGCTTAATTTCTCCACGATTTCACATTCCAAGACACCTGCGCAGAGATTGGTGCTGCCCACAGTGGCATAGACCCGTCCACCTTAGTTTACTTGCTATGTCTGTTTCCCCAAGCACGCTCACATGGCTACCCAGTATAGTCAATGCCTCACAGAGACTCTGTTTCCCAGTGATCCCACGTTGTATCAAACTGACAATTGAAGCTAAGCACCTTCTGTGTTGATTTGTTTCCCCGACAAGATGCAGATTCTTTTTAAAACCCAACCACCAGAGTGAGCAGCTGATAACAGAAATTTTATGAGGTCAAAATGAAGGTGCCCAAGTTCAAGACTAATCTTATAGTGGATTGCTGTGGATTGAGACAGAGTCTTAGACACCCTGTGTTTTTCACCTACTGTGATTTCTCATTGGTTGACAAAGACTCTACCTCTGTGTTAGTGACTGTAGAGAACTCACTGGGCAATAGAACACAACTGTATTATACAAAATTTTGAAAGAAGCATTAGTTGTGGGAAACAACTAATAAACCATCTTTCATGGTACTGTGAGGGTTGGAAAAATCAGGACAGAGTGGCTTAGGAATTACAGACAACTGAAATTTAAGTAAACTATTGCACAAAACCTATAATAAAGCCCAAACGTGATTACTTGGGCCATCTAGAACAGCATTATTTAGACTAAGCTTTTATTTGTTTTCTTCTTTTTAAAAAAATCCTTGTTTTTCTCTAAGAGAAAGTATCATATCTGAATAGGAGAACTAGTGAACATGCAGAGTGAGTGGATTTTCAGAAGCATAAGGAGATAAGGACAGCAGCTGCCCATGAGTCTGGTTTTCCTTAGTGTGGAGATTAGGCGTGACGTTAGGGGTAAGTCCATTTGCCTTGGACTTGAGACATCTGACTATGACTTCTGCCCTTCACACTTCCCCATGACAGGTTCACAGACAAGTGTAAGACAAGAATATTCATGCAAACCATATGTACAGTTCTTAGAGCCAAAAGAAGATATTAGACCCGAGACTGCCAAGAAAGAGGGCAGGGCAAGATAGAAAAGACAGCAGCCAAGCCCAAAATGGCTCCCTCCATCTGACCCATGATTTTAACCCCCACATGAAAGAGCAATCAAACCTACCTGAGTATAAAGGAACTCAGTTTACCTGAAGGCTAAAGAAGCAATTACATTTTACAAAGGAGAGGATGCTTCTCCTCTCAATCCCATAATTTCCTGACTCCTTGGTTAGACATTTTCATGGAATATATTTGCTAATATACCTCCTCTTTGCATTTTGTGTAGCAAACAGCTTGAGAGCCCCTAGGCCACTTTCATAGTAGAATTCTACCTCAAACACTAATGCAGGGCTGGAGAGATGGCTCAGATGTTGAGAGCACTGGCTGCTCTTCCAGTAGTCATTCGTTAGATTCCCAGCACCTACAAGTCTGCCCACAAGTGCCCACAACTCTAGCTCTAGGGAGTCTGATGCCCTCTTTTGGTCCTTAGGTACCAGGCATGCACATGGCACAAAGAAAAACACACAGATGAAACACCCTTACATATAAAATAAAATAATTAAAAACTATATCCTGTAGTTCAAGAGCATATGCCATACAGGTGAATTGTTGAATAAATCAAGCAGATGAATTCTTTTGGGGAAAAATGTATTTCTCCTACTTGGCTTCATTACTGCTGGGCATCTCTGGTTGGATCCTCAACACTGTATCCACAACCTCAGCCTCACGTAACTGGTTTTTCTGTCAGGAAAATTACTACTGAAATCGCGATCTCAGAGATGAGAGTATACATTGTCCTCAGCCCCACAGCTAGACACACTTAGTTTCATACATCCTCCAAGGGTGGGAAAAAAGTAAGGAAAGCCTTTATTTGGCTCAAAAATTCTGCATCGAGCTTATCTGCACTGTTCACACAGCCCTTCCTGCTCCTCTTATTACCCGGTATCCAGGAAATCAACACGAATATCTGCTCCCCGTGAATATTCTCAAGGTCCTCAGAACAGGCACAGCTAACACTGTGGGAAAGGGGCCACTGCACTGGGTGTTAATCACTCAGGCAGCTTTTCCCCCCGAAGCCTCTAGGAGGACTACAAACCTTCATGTAGAAAGGAAAACGCTTGATTTCAGCACTTTCCATGGCTCTCCCCCTTACATTTCCACTTCTTATTTCTTCATTTTAGAGCCTCTCCCGTCACCCGTTGCTGCTGGTGGAAAATCCCAGCGAGAAGGAGGGAAAACAGAGTAGAGACTGAATTGGGAAAGGTCCCTGGGCTGCAACCAGCTTTAAATTCTGTCTAGTAAATTCCTGGTTCTTTTCTTTTTTGCTTTCTCCATTCATGCTGAATGGGAGTTAAGAAAATCTGATACTGAAAAGATGGATTAATAGATAAAGGATCAATAGATAAAGTGCCACGGCACACATCTAAAGGGCAGAGTTTGGACGCTAGGACCACAGGGGTGGGAATTCTCTGTCATCTCAGCACTAGAGAGGCAGAGAAGGGATTTCCAGGCAAGCTAGTTATACTAGATGAGTTAGCAAGCTCTGGAGGACTCTGCCTCAGCAAATGCACTTGCCTACACGCACACACAGATATACACAGAGATACATATATGGAAACACAAACACACACATCATGCACCCCGCATAGACACATGAAAAGAAGAAACAAAAAGGGTTAAGACCATCCAAGTTATTATCTTTCCTTGGTTCTGTGGTTTCCGTGTGGAAGATTCCATCTCGCCTACCACATTCCCTTCCTATTTGCTTAGGTTGGGAGAAGCATAAGAAAGGCTTTAGCACATCCACAGGGGCTGAATCTAAGGGATAAAGTCACTTGACTGGCAGACTAATAGCTAGACTGTGGCCACCCTGCTTGCTTTGGCAGTGGAAGGCACTGTTTTCCTATCTGTGTTGAGTGGAGTGGCCAGGGTTCTGTGTGTGTCCCCAGGGCCTGGCCTTTGAACACAGCGTATGTCCTCCCCTCATCCCTCCATATTAAACAATTCCAGTTCTCTGGCATCCGTGCTTCCCTTTGCAGAAGTTGTGTAAGTCTATCTACAGCTGTGGTTCCAAGGCTTTGTCATGCTGTGTGGTGGACGGCTCAAAGAAAATTCTCACCAGGAAGCCAAAACAAACAAACATCGCAAAAGTCAGTAGGCACGCCGTGCGAAAGTGCAAGTAGTTGGTTAGTCTATCTTCAGTCTGTTTGGTGCCAGTTCCCGTGGAGACAGGCCTGTAATCACACTGCAATTTGAGTCCCTCCTATCAGTTCCCTGTTCCCCAGTGCTGGAGAGAGACAAGGTCTAAGGACTGCTTGGAGGAGAGCAGAACCTGCAGTTTCCAGCTGCTACTGATTGCTTACAAGTCTGTGTTGTACAAATTCTAATTGGTCTTTTTAAATATAAACCTTGGGCAAGCTTTATTTGTTATAGCGCAAACAAAGCATCACCACAAGTCTGTTTTTACAGAGAATTACAGTTTTCATTATAAGCTTAAGTACAGGTCGGCATCATGATCTCCCTGAAATCGGGCCAGAAGCTTCTCTCTGGGCAATGGGAATCAAGGGCTTCTATTCCAGGAACATTGGCTTTACACAATCACGAGAGATTACAATTCCAGGGAGGCTGCGGAGCCAGGTCCATTGGTAAAAGCTTGCCTTGGAAACACAAGGACCTGAGTTCAGCCCCGCACTCCATGCAGAACCCATGCAAGAAGACTGGCGTGGTGGTATACACTTATCTCAGCATGAAGAGGTGGAGACAGGCAGATCCCCAGGCTCCCTGGCCAGGCAGCGTAGCTACATGGTGAGCTCTAGAATGAGTCTTAAAACAGTGGACAGCACCTGAGGAAGAGTCCCTGAGGCTGAGCTCAGGCTTCCATATGCACACACACGCACAGGCATGTACCTGTGCACATGCCAACCAAACATCACACATACAAAATTATACAGATGATTTGGTGTGCTTGGGCTCTCCCTAGAGAATAGAATCCATGTGTTTATTTTATTTTTAAAACTTAAAAAATTATATGTATGTATGTGTGTGTGTGTACATGTGAATGAAGTGTTTACAGAGATCAGGAAAAGACCTATGATCCCTGGAGCTAGAGTTGTAAGTAGTTGTGAGTCACTATGTAGGAGCTAAACATTGAGCTTGGGTCCGTGCTCAATGGACCCAAACAAGTGATCTTAGCCACTGAGCATCTCTCCACCTCTTTGTGAGTCTTTTTAGAAAAGATGCCATGTAATCTGTCCACATAACCACATCACGTTGAAACGATGCATTTTACATAGCACACTTAAGGGGGAAAAACTATCGCTGTAAGCGTTTTCAAGCTACTCGGAAGCTTGTTGGCATTTACACACCTTAAAAGGGGTCAGACGTGATGGGCTCTGCACTTGGGCAGTTATCACTTCAAGCAAAGCTGGGAAGGGAGAACTGACCTGCTGGGGTGCGGTAGGATGTTAGTAATGGCTATGTCAGAAGTAGCAATCGAAGAGGAATTTGCTACTCAGTGATATTCATTGCCTCAAGAGGTCTGCTCTGTGTGAGTGCCTGTTACATTTTTTATGTCTTAGGGCATGTTTTGACCTCTGGTATTCTATGATGTACACAGGTGTTTAAAGCTTACTTCAAACATTCGAAAATTATTCAGAACTAAAAACAATCTCAATTCCCAGGGGTGAGGAAGTGTAACTATGACTTCATTTCTTTTAATGTTTTGGTGACTTAGGCATAGTTTCTAGTTTTCACAGAGAAATTTAGAGTCAAAGGCATCTAAATTAGTTACCTGAGTTCCCTGGCCCCTAATTGGCAAAGCTAGCATTTGACCAGTCTCTAATGTCAAGGCCGGACTCATGGTCAGCTCTGCAACAGAGGGGTGTTTATAACTGTTTTGATACAGGTACCAGTGTGCACAGGGATCAGCTGGAGACACTTCTTTGATTTTAGCACAGTAAAGATTTTATTATTATTATTGAAGTCTTATCATCCAGTGGTTTGATGTTGTATAGAGTGATTGGAGCTCTCTCTAACCACAGAAGGAATGCCCTGATTGCCTGTGACTTATGATAAGGAAGACACCAACGTCTGAAAGTCTCCCTGTATCTAGAACAAGTGACACATGGGATAAATAAGGCAGAAAAATCCCTTGGGAAGTTGGGAAATGGCATTAGAATGGGTTTGAGGAGATGGGAAGATTCGATTTAGTTGAATCCAAGGCTGTCCTTCGTGAATTTATTTTTTGTAAGTTTCTCAAAAGGACTTATCGTTGAGTCATAGAAAAGTCTGGAGCTTTAAGACATGCGTGTACTTGTAACTTATGAGCAAACCCAGCCCTTATTATCATCTATCTACATAATCTGCAAATCTCACGTCCCAGACATAGACACAGTTGGTGAAACATTCAGCTCCATTTCCCAACATGCACCAGAGACTCCTTTGTGCAAGGGCTTCGTTCTTACACACAGGGGTCTATGGTAACCTTTACACAAGCGTATGCGAAATCCAAGCTAGGAAATAGTTGTCTGTCAGAAAAGCATGCGTATGAAAGATGGGGGACTAAATATGATCCTGCTTGTGATAACTACCACAGCTTCTCTACAGGTAACCCATCTCTCCCCTGAGAGATACAATTCCACTCTCCAGTCTGACCTCCATGTTGCAAGTCTTCCTTACCCCACCTCCGCCCAGTCGTTCATCTGAAGCTTGAGTAGACACTCATGTGTGGTGTGCTTTGCACTGACTGGTCACTCTCTCTCAGATGGTTGACATCCTTACTTTAACAACTGTGGGATCATGAGATCTTGTCCCTTGTTTCTCCCCTTTGCAGGACTACCTGGGAGCCTGCATTGTCCTCACGGCCTCCATCGCATCCATCAGTAGCGGGTCTTCCAACTCTGGACTGGTGGGCTTGGGCCTTCTGTACGCCCTCACGGTAGGTACTGACAAAAATGCCTTTCTTTCCATGAGATGCTGGAGGGACTGTCCACAGTAACTATCAACTCTCGTTCATGGGCACTAGTAAAATTTGAAATTTATTACATGACATTTACACACAATAGAAGATATGAACCCAAAGCTAACGTTTTAGGACAGCTTAGATTGATATCTCTCCTTTTTATTTTAAAGTTTTTATTTAATTTTTAATCATGTATACTGTGTGCTTGTGTATGTGTGCACACAGAGATGCAGGTGCTCATGGAGGCCAGAAGAGGATGTCAGAGCCTCTAGAGCTGGAGCTCCAGGCAGCTGAGAACCAACCAATATGACTGCTGTGGTTCAAACTCCCCTCTGCAAAAGAATTATATGCTTTTGATTGCTGAGCCCTTCTCCTGCTGTGCCCTTTCTCTTTGGGGGTGTCTGTATATGTTCATGTGTGTCAGCAGGTTATGTATAAATGTGCTCACGTGCCTGTGGAGATCAGAGGTTGATGTCGAGTGCCTTCCTTCATCCCTACATTTTTGAGAAACAGTCTCTCCCCTAACCTCGAGCTTGCTGATTTGGCTAGACTTGCTGGTCAACAAGCTTCAGGAATTCTCCTGCCTCTGCCTCCCCAGTGCTGAAGTTATAGACTCACACCACTATACCCAGCTTTTTATGTGGGTTCTGAGGAGCCAAACTCATGCCTTCATGTTGTATGGAAAGCTCTCTGCAGACTGAAGCATCTCCCAGTCCCTTCAATTCCTTTCTGGCATCAATACTAGTTTCTAAAAATTTCTCAAATCCCACAGGCATCCTGTTCTTGGAGGTGTTTGAGATCCCTGTCTTGTTTTTTTTTGCATCACAATTGGGGCACTAAAAAGGGCATGAATAAATATGAGACATGCACTTGGATGGAATCAGTTCTCCACTGTGTATGGGAATCAGAGAGCAGTTCATGAAAGAGAGACGTGGAAGGCCTTTGAAAAATACACATCTCTAGACAGTTGAATATAAAAAATAGGTAAGGTAGTGGGAGAGTTCTACCTTTCTTGTTATAGCATTAAATTGGTAACATTATTTCACCAGAGGTTAAATGTGCAGGCAAAACTGCTTCATTTTTCTTTGCATTTTAAAAAAGCATTTACACACACACACACACAAAACCAAAACATAGTTAAAGAACAGAAACATACAAATATACACAGATGCACTTAATTTAAGCACGGGTCATTTTTGAGGCCAGTTTGCATGTAACTCAGGCTGGCCTTGAATTTATGTAGCACAGGACAACCTTGAACCTCTGAAGTGCTGGGACCATAATAGGTATCTACAACCACCTGGCCCTGAAGCTTACTGCTTTAGAATACTGAACACAGCTCAGTTAGCATTCCCTGGAGATTACAAACCACTTCACTAGCATTCATTAAAACTCATAAAGGTTTCCATATCACACGTTCATAATATTAAGGAGCTGAGAAGACCTTCCCAAGTGTCTCATTCCGCATGATCTTGCTATCAGTAAAGCATGATCTTGCTATCAGTACAAGGCAGAACAGCTCTTAAAGAGAGAGCAGGTGGAGGTCAAGGAGATGCCATGTGGCTGCTGAAGGGGAGAGATGCCAGAACATTACCATTAATCCACAGCCTCGTGGCGATACACAGATTAACAGAATGGGTTAATTTAAGATGTAAGAGCTAGTCAGGAAGACACCTGAGCCACTGGCCAAACAGTGCTGTAATTAATATAGTTACTGTGAGATTATTTGGGTCTGGGTGGCTGGGAAACCAAAGTGCAATCAACTGTCTAAATATAATCACAGTTAACAGCGTTTTGTGTTTTACTTTTTTATTGAATTTTTATTTCCTATGCGTGCATAGAGGTCAGAACAACTTGCAGAAATCCGTTCTCCATTTCTACCCTGTGGGTTCTTGGGAATCAAGTTCAGGTCATAGGCTAAAGTTATGGCAAGAACCTTTACCTGCGAACCATCCCACTGATCCCCATGTTAATTCTTCTAAAGAAAAGACTGAATTACAGTATCCTTTCATATGCTGTTCATCCAGTGCCTTCCCTTTTGAGATACTTAATGTATATTTTATTAAATAAAATAGATACCGTTTTTAGAGTGAAAAAAAAAAAGAAAAATACACATCTCTTCTGAAGTCTCATGATACTCTCCCTGGTGTCTGCTGGCCTGCAGTACTTAGGACCTGAACCGTCTGATGGACACTGCATGGGTCATTCTGGCCAGATGTTCAGTGATCGTGAGAATTGCTTACTTGCTTTAAATGTGGCCACTTTTGTCACCTGATACAGATAACCAATTATTTGAATTGGGTTGTGAGGAACTTGGCTGACCTGGAGGTCCAGATGGGCGCAGTGAAGAAAGTGAACAGTTTCTTGACTATGGAATCTGAGAACTACGAAGGCACCATGGGTACTGTGCACATGACCACTCTGGGAACCTTGTGTTGGCTTTGCTTTGTCGTTACCAAGAGACTCCCTTCTCTTCTGGGTTTATGTTCCTCCCTTTCTTTCCTTCCTACTTTTGTTTACTTATTTATTTACTTATGTATTCTTGGAGTTTGGGATTGTGAGACATGTTATAGCTATGTAGTCTAGGCTAGCCTTAAGCTCAAGATTCTCCTGATTTGTTCTTCTGAGAGCTGACACATGTAAGCACACACTACACCACCTCTCATATTGATATTGCTTGATTCACCAGCTGAGAAGAAGCAAAAATTTAGTCTTAGATACAAGTACTCTAAGTAGACATTATTCAATACTATTTAGAAATAATTGTAAATGTATTGGGGCCTTATTACATTGTATTCTCTTTCTTATAGCTTTAACTCAGACATCAAGAAACTTGAAAGTACTAAACGAGATTCTTAATTCTATTAGAATAACTGCCCAGAAAGTTGATAATAGACACAGTATGGTCTTTATTAGATGCAAATCTCAATCAAAATGCATTTTTTTTTGCCTAAGCCATTTAGTGGCTTTCTAGCTGGCAAAGCACATGGTCACGGTTATAGCTGAGGCCACTAAGTGACTCTAGCCACCTGCCCTGTCCACTTCTCACCACCCACCTACTTCCTCCCCAGACACAATCTTAGATGTCCCAGAATGCTTTTCTCTTACCTCCCCATGTGGCTGTCCCCTTAGAACTGCAGATGCTAACTTCTTGTCTGCCTCCCAGGGATACAGAAAGCCATGCCTTTTATCTTTATTTAAATAATTCATACTCTCCCACTAGAAACTTCGGGTGTTTGAGGATCCACTTACATGGACATCAATTGACAAATGAACTCTCTTTACTTAGCCTGAATAGCATTGAATGCTGGGAAGCTGAGGAGATGGGATGATGTTAACATCCACCCCCTCCTACAAGTTAAAATTGTACTGTACAAGAAAGACAGGAAAGTGGGAGGAGAGCTAGATAGAAAAGTGCAGGGGGTCATCAGGAGTGGAAGGCAGCCAAGCAAAAATTACAGTGGGGAATGACAGCAATACATTGTGTATCTATGCAGAAGTTTCAAAAACTAACCTTTAAAGAAAGAAAATAACTCAAAAATCTTAAAATTCTCAATCACCATTGTTTACACTAAATACAATTTAAATTTAAAAACTAAGCCGCCATAGTTTGTTTCAGTATTACAAATAATCTAGGGAAAATATTGTGTGTGTGTGTGTGTGTGTGTGTATGCATTGTAAATGTTATTATTCCTGGAAACCATACACATATTTAAGTGTGTATTTCTTTCTTCCTCTGTCTCTTAACTACCTTTGTCTATTCTACTACTCCAGATCCCTCCCAAGTCCCAGAGCATTGGCCACAGGAAGGCGAGATCAGGATTCATGATCTATGTGTCAGATATGAAAATAACCTGAAGCCTGTTCTGAAACACGTCAAGGCTTACATCAAACCTGGGCAGAAGGTATGGGATTCACCACCGTCTGGTTATCTGCATTAATCTCTGGTGGAGCCTCTAGCACCCCGCGAGCACCCACCAGAGTGTCCAGACCCAGACTCACGTTCCACATACGCTGCATGAAAGAGGAAGGGAGAACGAGGATCCAAGCAGGACACCGAATGCTCCTTACATTACTCTGCCCTTCATTAAGCCCTCATCAAAATCAGAATGGTCAGCACCAGGCACACTGTTGAAAATTTCTGATATCTGGCTTGGAGCTATACTAGGCATCGCCTCCATGACCTTTGCCTCCATTCTAGATCTGCTCTGAAATGACTTCTTTTAATTCCTATCTTTAATATAATATGTGTGTGGAAATCTTATAAATCCATTCACTATAAACCATGCTTATAAACCTGTCTTTGCTCAGCTAAAATTGGGCACTTGTGTAAAGGTCCAGCTATAAATTTGTTTGAAATGAAGCCCTAAATGGGAAACAACATAGCCATACAGAAAAAAAAAAACAGGAGGCAATAATTACTTCAGTGAGGACTCTATTTTTATCATAATTCATGATAAGAAAATTGTGATGCAATTTTTTGAGCAAGTTTATACTTTTCCCATGATACCTTGACTAAGTTAGAAATACCTCAATCCGTTTCATGCCTTTGTCTGAGTCTTGACTGCTCTTGCTTTTCCCAGGTGGGCATTTGTGGTCGTACTGGAAGTGGGAAGTCGTCTTTATCTCTGGCGTTCTTCAGAATGGTCGACATATTCGATGGTGAGTTGTGAACTGAGATTTTGTCAACCGGGTGGCCTTTGGTGGCCTAGTGTGTATAGGTCTTGCCACCCAGACCAACAGCCTGGACTCATTCAGTACTCAGGACCTACAGAGTGGGAAGAGACACTGACTCCTGCTTTCCCATGAGACACTGTCCTCTAGGTTTCACATGCACCCCAGTGTGTGCACCTGTGCTTGTGCAACACATACATGCACACGCACTAAAGAAATAAAATATTTTACGAATAATAGAGTCCAATCAATTCACCCAATTCTGCACAAACAAACAGCACATATTCATCAGGACTTCGTATCCTGCTCATGGGTCGAGGCAGGCACCCCAGACAACAAAAGAACATAGAACTGGGAAAATAAAGTGATTATCCAAAACAAAGACCTAGAGACAGCTGCCAATGGGTTGTAATGAACTTCCAGAATGAACACAGTCACCACACTGACACACTGAACATCAACAGATGACAGTGAAATTTGGGAGGAAAAGGGAGGGAAAGGTTGGTTTTTTTTTCTCCTCCAGATTTAAAAAAAAAAAGTCTTTCTCTACTGAAGGGAAAAGAAAGCACACAGAAATAAGTAACCTGCACTTATAATCTAGTCGTGTGACTTTTGTAGCTGTGTTCTTAATGACACCATTTAAGGATACTGAAATATTTTGTGTGTAAACAAATCTTGCTGCAAAATGCTAAATTCATGTCCACAATATTTGAATATTTATTTGCTATAACAGCAAAGATTATTTAATTTTTTTTAGAAAAGTAATATGTCATATTATTTAGTTTACCAACTGGCTATAAAGAGGTCAACACATAAGCCATTCCTGATGAAAGGGACTCCAGCAATGACCCTGACCTTTAGCTCAGGAAATGATTGCTACTACTGTGTCCATTGACTGCGGTGATAGTTACAGTACTTGGTATTTTTATTACACTTGATAACTTATGTAATTTACAAAACAACTCTGTGAGAGAAAAGCTCAGTTTGTGAGCAACAAAACTGAACTGTAGCTGGGCATGGTGGTGCACGCCTTCGATTCCAGCCTTTAGAAGACAGAGGCTGGTGAATCTCTGTGAGTTTGAGAACCACCTGGTCTACATAGTGAGTTATGGGACAGCCGGAGCTACATAATGGAGAGAGCGGTCTCAAAATATGTGTGTGCGTGTATGTGTATATATATATATATATACATATTACATATATGCACATGCACCTTTATGTACACACACACACACACACACACATATGAACCATAGAAGCCAGAATGGAGGAAGGTTAAAATTCAGTGGCATAGTAAGCATTCACCAGCAGGTTAGTGAGGTTAGTGGTTTGTTCATTCCCTGGTGGGCAATGCCTTCAGCAGAGTTTGTGTTTCTGGGCAATTATACAGTTCAAAGACAGCTGATGGATTGTTTTCACTTAGCAAAACTGTGATTATGGCTGAGCTTGTTTGGTTAGCCTGCTCCTCAAGCATCTCCAAAGGTGACCTTAGGCCTCCTGAGAACCATAACTAACTTGAGACCCTTTTAGTAGCGGGCATTGGTTAATATGCTAATAGACGCTGTGTCGTCCCTGAAAGAAACCACTTACGCTCATCTTTGCTTCTGCTTGAATAAAGTCCCTGCTTATTACTAAGTGGGCCATAACCACCATTCTGAGATCATATTTGTCTCACAAGGAACACTGTCTTTGCATGACAAGGATGAGGAAATTAACCTCTGGTAAAAGAGATGTAAAGAATGTGTAGCCCTGTAAGTCTACAGGCAGTATGGGCTACAGTTGGTAAATCTGATCTCACGTCGGAATTTGCTTTCCTGTTCATAATGCCTTGTGCTATTCCTTACAGCCGTGGGTGACAGGCCAAAGACTTTGTCTTCACGAAGTTTGTATGTATTGAGCTAGACAATAAAAATTAAATAAATACATACAGGATGTCTGATTCCAACAAATCCTATAAAACAAGAAGGAAAGGTAAAGACATTCTAGAAGAAACAGTATCCAAAGGATAAAAGTGATTTTGGCTCTCATGGCCGAATACTGAATAGTAACAGAACATTCCAGAACATTCCTTCAGGGGAAAATATGTCAGAAAGACAAATCTCCCCGGAAGTGTACATTTTGTTAGAGACAGATGTTTCTAATTCTTTAATGGGAAGTTTTACATTCTGTGTTTCAACCCAGAACTTGGAAAAAAAATTTTATTACTTCATTCATTGTGGAACTGCAACTGAGTCCAGGGCCTCATGGCCAGGCAAAGGTGAAAGAGAGAAGGGGAGAACAATTTTAGTTATTAAATGAATGAAACTCTCTCTCATGAGTTTGCTACATGTCTGTGGCATTTATTTTTCTGTAACAGGAAAGATAGTCATTGATGGGATAGATATTTCCAAACTGCCCCTGCACACACTACGCTCTAGACTGTCCATCATTCTCCAAGACCCGATCCTGTTCAGCGGCTCTATCAGGTGAGTGCTCTAATTTGCTGACTTCATAAAGATGAGAAAGCTGATCACACTGCCCCATAACTGGAATAGGAACGCCCAGGTGTGCTAGCCTAGACGTGTGCTTTGAGCTCTCTCCTGTTCAATTCTATAAAGCCCACAGTGACTGACAACGTTTTTGAGGTGTCCCGCCCCATAGACACCCGTCTGGTTCCTGTGTGTCAGTCTTGAGCTTAGAGGATAATGTACATCATCTCTATCTGCCTCTCTGCCTCTCACAACTTTTGCTCTCCTCTAAGATCACTTGGACAAAGTGGCTCCAGGGTTCTCCTGCCCTGGTTTGTCATTTCCCATAAATCAGTAAAAAGTATAAAACAGCTGGAGATATTTACTCCCCCAGTAGTTGCTTTTAATGTTCAGACAATTTTGGGGGGTCATTATTATCTCCACGTTACAAATGATTGTGTTGAACCTCAACGCTGTTGTGGCTTTCCCAAGTTCCTATTCTGTTTAAGTGGTAGAATTGCCCTCCAGTAGCAGACTGTCTGAGCCCAGGGTCTAGCAAGACATCTACTGGATCATTGGGTGGGTGGGGGAGGTGTGACTTGTGTGTACGTCTGGCTTGTTTTGTTTTGCTTTGTTTTCGTCTTTCTCTCCTGACTTCCTTTCCTGTCATCGCTTAATTACAAAGAAGTATTTGCTCCCTCCATTCAAGAATTATTATTTATATTGAAGAAAAGCATGTATGAACTATTTATTCCTTATTCACCTGTAAGATTTCTTTAATTAAAAGTCCTAGTGGTCCAGCCTTAGACAAAGAAATGTTGGGAAACCAAGGAATGCTGAGAGTGGGATAGAGTATTCCTTAGGGAATTAATTATCCAACATGAGGTGGTCATCCTTGGAAACATATGCATGCAAGTAACATTATATGGACTGAGCAGGTTGTGTTTATATTTTTCTATATATACCTATATACACACACATATATATGCATACATACATACAGACAGACAATTATAGAAATATATAGGCCATGAATTTGAGAGACAGAAAGGAGATGTATGGGAAAGTTGGCAGGAGGAAAGAGAAATGAAGAAATTATGTAATTATATTTTCATTTTAAAAATAAAAATATTTTTTAAAAAGTTCTAGATGCACCAAGTTATTTAGCAGTAATATATCCACTTATATCTCTGATATACTCAAAATTCTTCTAATGTGTATTACATATTCCCATATAGACTTAAGTGTTTAACATCAGTTCTGTGGGATATTTACTAGACAGTATTTGGGTTATACTAAGCATGATAAAGATCCAGGAAATAACATTTGTCATATTATATTATATTATATTATATATGCAAATATGCTTAGTAATGTCAAAAAATGTTTGGGCTAACATTAAAGGTCATTTATACATTCATCACTAAAGTACAGATTTTAGGTTTGCTCTGAGCTGAGCCCTATCCTGGTGTTGAATATATTGTCTCGTGTTTATCATTGACTGATAAGCAGAGATCTTTCCTTACAGGTTCAACTTGGATCCTGAGTGCAAGTGCACAGACGACAGGCTGTGGGAGGCTCTGGAAATCGCCCAGCTGAAGAATATGGTGAAATCTCTGCCAGGAGGCCTAGGTACACCTTCCATTAGTTACTTCGCACTACACAACTGACTCCACATGCCTCTAGCTCCTGGCTCAGTAGGACGGCCCAATTCTAGAGGCATTTTTTTTTTATCTAAAAAAGTTATTTATTTTTGTTTATGTGGACCTATTTGTTTGTATGTGTATCATGGGCATGCAGCCAGCTCTCACAGAGGCCAGAAGAGGAGTTATAGGAGGTTATGAGCCATCATGTAGGTGCTGGGGAAAAAAACAGGTCCCTTGCAAGAGCAGACAGTGCTCCTAACTTCTGAGCCATGTCTCAGCCCTTATCTACTTTGATTGTTTGTTTTAATAGAGTTACAGTAGTACTGGAGATGAAAATGAACTCAACCCCCATCCACCATGACAGTACAGATTAGCGGGGTGATATCACAGAAAGAGAAGTGGAATTGGGGGTTGACATATTCTGTTTCTTCTGAAGCCCTTCTACACATTAGCTAAATGTGATGTTGGACAAACCATTTGCTCTCCCTAAGCCACAGGTAGATAAATTCCACAGTCTCCAGGGAGAACTGGGTTAAATAATTCAGCGATTCCCAAGGTCTTTTGGTCTTGCAAATGTCCTAGCAGTATTTTTCAGATGTTAGGACACAATTCTCCACATGTTGTCACAGATAAGATGAACCAATCTTATCTTCTCTCTGACTCTCAGGATACCATCTCTTCAACAGCACACCAGGCCAGTCATGCATATGTCATGTTTTTCCTGATTCCTCTCATCCCTTCAAAAGTTACTAACTATTCTTAGTGAGTCTCTTGCTTATCCTGTCTCAGATGCCACTGTCACTGAAGGTGGGGAAAACTTCAGCGTCGGGCAGAGGCAGCTGTTCTGCTTGGCCAGGGCCTTCGTGCGAAAAAGCAGTATACTCATCATGGACGAGGCCACAGCTTCCATTGACATGGCCACGGTAAGTTTCCACCTCTGCTGTGAAAGCCAGTGTGTTGGAAATGCATTGGAAAATGGCAGCGAATTCTTCTAACTGAGTTCTGAATCCTCAGTTTTTATCATTGCAAATGACTCCCCAACTAACTCCTTGATCAGCCAAAAGGAGTTTCTGTTACCAAGACCCACTTTTAATAATCCACACTAGGACTGGAGATGCATGATTAAAAAGCAAACTTGACCTTCATCCACTGGGAGAATACAGATTAACAGGATGATAGAACACAGAACAAAGGTGGAATTAAGGTTGGGATATTCAACTTCTTCTTACATCCCACTACACACTGACTGATTGTAACCTTGGACAAGCAACTTGATCTCTTAACTTCTCTTTAACGCTTTCATTTGACATAAATTCAGACTGCTAAAAACTGTTTAGAAGAAATGAGAAATAAGGATCAGACACCTATTTGTATACACACACACACACACACACACACACCCCACAAACCTGAGGAGGTGGGCATGAAGTCGTCACCTATATTATACACCATAGAGTCAATCAAGCAAACAAGCATGTCTTTATCCCAAGCAATTGACCACATTTCTTTGTAGTGGAAATGTTGGAAATCTATCAACATATTTGCAATATGTGACTTTATAATTGACTGCGTTTATTGTGCCAAGAAATGGATGGAGAAAAAGTAAGTACCATGGAGGACAGAGAGAAGAGGGACCCCTGGCACATCGTTGGGGGAATGAACATTAGTACAGCTGTTTTGAAAAACATAGGGAATCTCCTCAAAAACAAAAAATAGATCTACTGTATGACCCAGCAAACCCACTACTGGGTGTATATCCAAAGGACTCAGACTATAGTAGACAGGTGTCCACATGGCCTTGCTCCCCTCAACATTATTGTGTGTGTAGACAGGCAGATGAAAAGAATGTGCTGTGTAGAGATCATGGGATGCCATGCAGCCTTTGATAAGCCACTTGTGACAGTGTGGTTGGAACTGGAGGGCACTGTGCTAATGATCCAGTCACAGGAAGACAAATTCTGTATGGCTTCCCTGATAGAGAATCTAAAAGAAATCAATATTATGGAGACAAAGCAGAGCTGTTGGTATGGAGCTCATGGAGGGATTACCTAGGGGAGAAAGGAAAGAGGGAAGGGGAAAGAGAGGCTGTTTAGCAGAGGTCTCAGCCTGGAAGACTCATCAGGACCAGATCTTTATTTTCTATACCTCCCCAGGTGTCATATTCCAGGGTTCAGCAGATGAGAGCAGTGTGCTGGAATAAGGAATAAGGGCACTGGTCATGAGAACTCAGCTGCGGAATATAAACCTCTTTTCAGTACACCACAATAGCTACAGCCATCCGTTGGCTTCAACAATTTGTATTGTTAAGATGAATAATGGCTTGAGTTAAGAATTGCCTTCCCCGTGTACTCATGGGAAAGGCCAGAGCCTTTACATCCCTAACTCCATGCTGCTTTCTTGCTACTCACTTCAGACTGGGTGAAATGACCCCAAAATAAAACCATTTGAAGATTGTTCAGAACCAACCATATATGAAGGTGTTAATTTGACTCCTTCCCTCCTCCTTGCTCCCTACCCCAGTGTCCTAAGTTAGAGGGTCACTGTGTAATCCTGGCTGGCCTGAAACTCACTATCCTGCCCAAGCTGGCCTCAAGTTTGCAATCCTCCTGCCTTGGCCTCCTTAGAGGTAGGGTTACAAACAAACCACTACACCTAGATTCACATCTTTTTTTTTTCTTTTTTACCTATTAACACTAATCAAAGTACAGTTCCAAGTTACATGACATCACAACGAACATAGTATAAATAACAAAATGGCCTATGATTGAAAGTAACACAAAATTGGTGTTACCAGTCAGGTTCAAGGACATCTGCTTCAGCATGGTAGAGAGCAGGTGAGGGAGTGAGAGTCAGGACTCAGGCAGCACCAAGCAGTCGGAATGAGATGCGGGGTAACTGGGTCTTCCTGTAGGAGTGAGGCAAACCCTTCACCCATAGCGCTTTTCAGACATCATGATAACCATAGTTTAGAATGTGAAGAGAAGTATTTCTGTCTTCAACATTCCGTATGGGTCAAAAGTGCAAATGTTGGCATAGACTTCGATTTCTCTTTGCTTGCCAAGTCAAAGGTTAGTGCCAGGGTAGGCTTTGCTTAGCTTCAGTCATATGCTGCTTGTGGTCAAATAGAAGCAAGCACTTCCAGGCTTCTGTGGTTCATTTTCTCCTTTGAGTTCCTGGCAAATCTGTAAGTCAGAAGGACCGCTGAGCTATCATTTTCAGTTAGCATGGATCTCATCATGGCACTTTCAGACATAAATGCCACCACTGTCCTGTTGCATTAGGAGCGGCGGCAGGGCTGCGTCCCCGGCACCTGGCTGCCCGTATGGCTAGCTTATGCCCGAAATAATTACACGGAAACTGTATTCTATTAAACACTGTCTGGCCCGGCTAGTTCCAGCTTCTTATTGGCTAGCTCTTACATATTATTTTAACCCATTTCTAATATTCTATGTAGCCCATGAGCTGGCTTACCAGGGAGGATCTTAACCTGCATCTGTCTGGAGCGAGAATCACGGTGACCCTCTGACTCAGCTTCTTTTTCCCAGCATTCTGTTCTGTTTACTCCACCCACCTAAGGGTTGGCCTATCAAGGGGCTTAGGCAGTTTCTTTATTAATAAGAAATCACTCCCACATCACTGTCCTTCCTTCTCATTCTTGCCCATCCTCCCGCTGCCATTACCTATCCCCCCCCACACACACACACACACTTCCGCTTCCTCCAAGGTCTTCCCTTCTGCTTTCAATTCATGGTGCATCCCATTACTCCCACCCCCCCCCAGCCCCTAAAATCTTCCTCTGGGGCTGCAGAGCTGACCAGCAGTGAGGAGCACGCCCTGATCTAGCGGAGGACTCGGGTTCGGGTCCCAGATTCACATCTGCTAGCTCAGGATCACCGCAAACTCAGTTTCAGGGAGTTTGTTGCCCTCTTCTGGCTTCTGTGGGTGCTTGTACACTCTCAGCATAAATGCACATGACATACACAAGAAGAAAAAATGTTTTAAATAAATTATTTTTTAAGAAAGATAACTTCCTTCTTTCTCACGGTCCCCTTTCTACTTAGGACTACTGACTTTCCTTGCATTTTGAAGACATTTCCAACCCCAGCCTGCTACTACTTAGGCTTCTTCCTTAACACCAAAGAAACCTTGGAGTCGGCAAGCTTAGAAGGAACTAGGCAGTGGAGTATTAATCTTGGCATATAAGATGCTTTGACGACAGAAAATAGGCTCCTGAAAATTAAACCTTTTCTTTTCCTTTCGGCAGGAAAACATTTTGCAGAAGGTGGTAATGACAGCCTTTGCGGACCGCACAGTCGTGACCATAGCCGTAAGTAACAGGCGTGGGGTCTCTTCCCTTCTCTGTAGCTCGGGTTCCTAAGTTCCATCCCCAATTTAACTAATATCTATATACGCTTTCTCTATTTCTCTAAAGCAAAAGACAATGAGATGCCCATGGCATGGGGAAGCAATGTCCCTTCCTTAGGTAGCAGTGATTAGCCCCAGTTTGATAGCTTGCAAGGGCGTTAGTTTTCTGGCTCTCCCTTGTATTTGGCGGGATCTTTGTTCTCACTGCAGCCCCCTGAAGACTATTCTGGAAGCGTTCATCCTCTCGTTCTCCCCTCACTGACGGCTCTTCTCTCTGTGGCTCTCTCCTCCAGCACCGCGTCTCTTCTATTGTGGACGCAGACCTTGTTTTAGTCTTTTCGGAGGGTATTTTAGTGGAGTGTGACACTGCTCCAAACTTGCTCGAACACAAGAACGGCCTTTTCTCTACTTTGGTGATGACCAACAAGTAGATCACCGAGCTCTGCTCCTCCGAGTGCCTCGTTCACTGGTAGATGTCTGAGCAGACTCGCCTGCGCCTGCGTGAGGCAGAGCTGAGGCTGCGACTGAAGGGGGTGCTGGGGGAGGGGGGACTAACCACCGGGGATGACCACACAGGTCAGCTCGCCCAAGTGTTTGCATCGCGTGTGATACTGACAGGGGCGCGTGCTTATGTTTACAAAGACAGCATTTACGAAGCGGGAAGCAGGTTTCCCTCTGTGCTAAATTGATTTTAATCTCTTTCCTAGTCACCCTTAAAAATGCTTCGTGTTTTGCCTGCATTAAGTGATTTAAAATATCGCTTAGTGTAAGTGCTGGGAAACCTGAGCTGGTGAGGAAACTTGCTAGTCTTGGGCCAAGCCACCCTCTGAATGGCATCTTTCTCAGGCTCCAGGAACTGATTACCCTTGGGGCTCCGGTCGAAAGAAACGCCATTTTCTCTAATTTTCCTGATAAGATCTGTGGTTCGTCTGTCCTAAAGGGGGGCTCACGGGTTCATTCTCACCACAGTAAATGATCTAAGAGGCTAGAGAACCAGCTGATGTGAATACGGTTCAAGAATTGTCTCACTAGAGACATGTAGGGAGAATTCCCCGTTGCCCCTTCATGAGTGCGAGGATAGAAGATTGCCAGACCCTTGCTACCCCAGGAGACCAAGTCTCTGCTCTGCATGAAGCATGGTGGTGGTGGTGGTCAGTCCCATGAAGTCTTTATCTTGAAGGTTACTTGATCACGATTTATATCTTTAAATGAAAAATTGCCTTGTTTTTTTTTTTTAACCTAATTTCTAACTGTATTTGTGAAATACTTTTCACTATGTACATCTTATTGTGGAGGTCACTAAACTCCCAGCATCCCACACACACCCAAAGGTCACAGAATGAGGCATGGCTGCAGAAGCCCGTGCTACCCAAGTGGCTCTCCTTGATGATAGACCAGCACCCTTGCCATAGGCTCCTTGAAGAATGAGCGACATCTCTGCTAACATTTCTCTCTCTGCCTAGAAGTTCCCCAGTGACCTTAGTTAACTGCCACTGAAGCATTAAAATCTGTTTAAAAATATGTGTTTTCCCAGCTTCTCAAAAGAGCCATCACATACCAGATTAGTTCCTGGTATTTATTTATGGAAACGAGTTATTCCTCGCTCTCCATTGGATTAATTTCTCTGGAGCATTTTGAGATTTTCTTCAACACTAACTGATCCCACATTTTTTCAACAACAACAAGAAATTGTGTGGATCAATAGAGTAAACACAAATGATACTTATTTCTGCTGGCTAAGATTTTTCAATGTTCTTACAATTTTAGTAAACATTATTTTTGACTGTTATAGTAATGTTTATAAAACTGTCTTCATAGACATAAAAGCCAAATTCGTTTTAAGCACCTCTGATATGGCTATTGAAGAAATACTATTTTTTTCTGAAGAGAAAATGCATCAAGAGCTATAAAGTGATTTGTTACGTTTATTCCTTCCAAATGTGTGGGGGTGCACATGGCTCTGCTCTTTTCTCAAAGATAGCATTGCCCTCCCACTTCTGACAAGTTTCTAAAAATAGCTGTGGGTGACTACTGAGGACTTGAAAGTGGCTAGTGGCGTGTGAGATTCACCATGTGTCTAAAATACACCACGCATCTCACACAGCAAGAACAGAAGAATGTAAACAGACTTGTGAAGATTTTTATGTTGGTTTCACATCAAAATGCTAACACAGAGAACATATTGATGATATGTATTGTATGTATGTGTTGTATGTATGTAAGTATTTTATATGTATGTATGTATTGTATGTATGTGTGTATTGTATGTATGTGTGTGTGTATGTATGCAGTAGAGTTGCTTTCAATGGCTCGTTGCAACTTTCAAAATGCATCTCCCAGCAAATTTAAAACTGCATGAGGCTGCCTTTAGATTTTTGTGGGACAGGCTGATCTCAGCAAGAATAAACACCAGCACAGAGAGTTTTTCTTCTACACCAACAAGAGAGTTCCTAACAGCAGCTGGCAGTGATCATCTGCTTACATGTGCCAGAAAAGGTGTGCAGTGTCCACACAAATTATCTCCCATTGTGCTGGAAGGCGGGGCCGCCGCCGCCATCATTATAGGTGCAAAGCTACAGCATGCATGGTTGGGATGCTGATGCCGATTGCCCAGATAACAGGTGTGGGAGCTGAAGCGTGAGCTGGTTTGACATCAGAGTCTGCTCACGTACGTTATTACATTTACTCATCGAGGTTGGTGACTACCCAAGGTAGCCAGGTCCAGTCACAGGATGCAAACACTTTGCCCCCTGAAGCTAGGAAAACCTGTCTCAATAATGATTCCATGATGATTATCCCGCTAGTTATCTAGGTCATCTCTCCATTTTTCTTCATCTGTCTGAACCCTGATGACATCCCTGATAAAGGGAGAGAGGGAAGACCCACTGCTGAAGAACATTGTAATGATTCATGATTACACACATATGGTACACTTAACATATGAATATGATTGATAAATGGCAGTTTTCATTATTAATATTAACATTAAGGCTCCTATTCCAGTGGAACCAGTGACAGATGGTGATCTCCGTCGAGTAAGAGACTACACATCGACAGCCCTGGATAACAAAGCCGAATAGACTTCCCCAGCTGGGATTTCCCGACCTGAATCTCTCAGGGTCCTTCTTATTGTGTGTTGATTCAGGGACTTTAGTGGGCTCCCACATGAGATAACTGTAATCAAGAATAAAATATAACTGAACTGGTTCGCAGTGACTCCCTTCCTTCAGCCTTTCCTTGAGGCACCTGTATTGGTAGGCATGGTTGTCAGGTTTCAGTACAGTAGTGACATCACTAGCTGCACTAAAGGGAAGCCGGAGCAAACAGAACTAACTGCATTGGTGGGCATTTAAAAGTATACTAATTAATTAATACAAGAAAAGGGTATTTCTTGGCATACCTAAAGTAAAAAAGTAACCATGCATGACCAACCTGTGACGTGTTCATATTCATTGCTTTGACCCATGTGTTCAAATTCATAACAAATACTCTTGCTTTTTTTTTTTAATGTCTGTTCTCACAGCACCGAGTCCATACCATTTTGACGGCAGACCTGGTTATCGTGATGAAGCGAGGAAATATTTTGGAATATGACACTCCAGAAAGCCTCTTGGCCCAGGAAGATGGGGTGTTTGCCTCGTTCGTTCGTGCGGACATGTGAGGGGATGCCCTTGCAGTACTGCTCAGATTCAAGCGCCTGCAGTCAGCCCACTGAGGGAGCCTCACCTTGGCCTTCATAGGGCGGCGCCTTAAGCTTCAGCGGATTTCTGTATGGAAAGCTGAGGTCTCTGTTTCATGCTTGGTGTAGTAGTTTCCCGAGATACACTTCTTTTAGGTTCATCAGTGGCTTATTTTTCTAATGACCAGGCCAGGTTAGAATAGTAGGCTAGGTTAACACATGCAAGCTACCACAAGAGGAGTCAGTTTGAGTTAAGCCTGCTCAATGTCTATCACACATGGGAGCTGAGGTGAGTCCTCTGTATAACCACACTGCCTGGGAAGGCTAACTTTGCCTCACTGTTGGGTGCCCATGTAGGAAGAGAGTAAAATAAAAAATTCATTTTCTAATGAAATACTCAAGGTCATGATCAACCTTAGAAGAGTATTTTCTATGCTTTTAACATTAGTAATACTGTTTTTTTTTAATTTTTTTCCTTTAAGTAATTTCCTGTCACCAAAAATGATCACATTTTTGGCACCTCTGTAAAGCCAGCCTCTTCCAAGAGAAAGATCACAGCAAGGGGTTGAGTATTTGAAAACTTTATACATGTCTCTAATTTCCTCTGTCCAATAAGGAGAAAGTTCAAGTTAGCGTCCATCCTTCAGTGATGGGTCAGTGAAGCTTTCTGGAGTTTAGTTCTTTATCAGCCAGGGAATGACTCTGAACCCTGAAATGCTATTCAGGACTCAAAAAATCTAGGTAAATGGCCTTCTCTCTCTCTCTCTCTCTCTCTCTCTCTCTCTCTCTCTCTCTCTCTCTCTCTGTATCTATCTATCTATCTATCTATCTATCTATCTANCTCTCTCTCTCTCTCTCTCTCTCTCTCTCTCTCTCTCTGTATCTATCTATCTATCTATCTATCTATCTATCTATCTATCTACACACACACATATAATTTTCATGCCGTATCTTAGCTGTATGCTAATCTCTACAAGCACACATTCCTCAAGGGTACCAGATTCCCTACAATACTTTTCTGTGGGAGAGTTACATAGGTAGTGAGTGCTTATTTGTACTTGACAAATTTCACCCATAGATGTTGATGACACACATGTGGCCATTTGTCCTGTTCTAATTTTAGTGCACAAGAGTGTACCAGAAATCTGCAGGCTATTGGTGTCCTATTTTACCTAGATGCTAGCTAGTAAAGTCTAGCTTGCTGGATATTTGTTTCGCTGTTATTCTAGCTAAACTCTTGCCCGTCTGATACACGCATTGCTGAGTTTCATATCAGAATCTTCACACATTGCAATACCTCCAAGACTCCTAATTGATGGGTAATGCATTTGTTTCAAGACTTAAAATTCTTGTGTATCAGAATACATCAATGTGCCTTTGGAGATGCGGAACCCTATATTGTAAGGATTTCATGAAGATGGACAAAAATGGTTCCGATTGCTTTGCTTAAGTCACCACCACTTTTGTCCCACATATAGAAATTTACGTTTTTAATTTAACGTTCTCGTTACAGAACGTCAGTAGATTACAGTCATTACTGAAAAATTCGATCTCAAAATTGCTTTGCAAAAATTTTACTAATCTACTAAAACATTGTTTGTTTGAAAAGGTTCTGTTGGGGCTGAATATCCATGATGTTTATTATCAAGTCACACTTCCTCTCATATGTAGAGGTTTGTCTATAGACGTAGCCCCTTCAGATGCAAAACTACACTATCCTGTACACAAGGGAGTCTGGGGTCCCTAGAACCTTTACTTACTTACTTACATAAGTAAGATATTTGATTATCTGTGAAACCAAACCCACCAGATGGAGTCAGGGGGATAGTCTCAGTCAGTTAATCATATATTATTTTGTTTGTGTTACCTTCAATGACAGGACGGAGTTTGTAGGCAAAATTTCCCTGTGCCTTGGCAGCCGCTCCCAAAATATTCAGAGACATAGTACTAATTATAAATGCTCGGCCAATAACTTAGGCTTGTCTCTAGTCAGCTCTTACAACTTAAATTATTATTCTATGTGCTACCCGAGGTTTGTTTACCTCATCTATAAACTTCCCAGGTTGCTGCTTCTGTGTCTGGCTTGCAAGTCTCCAACTCTACCTTTCTTCTTCCCAGTATTTTCTCTGCCCCCTCACATCCTGCCTTGCTATGGGCCAATCAGCTTTTTATTAACAATGAGAGCAACACGTCTTCACAGTGTACAGGGATTGTTCCACAGAAAGTGTTTTTACTACTTGTTTTAAGAAAAATGTCATGGAAAAAAATAATCTCAACAGAGTTAAACTTTACATTCATCTAACCAAATCAACTTCATAAATATTTATTCTTTACTATCTATAAAAATAATTGAGACAAGAAAGTTCATAGCAAAATGACAGGGTTATTGGTGTCATTGTTCAAGTAAAGATAGTTTCCCTCAGAGGTGGTGACCCTCTACTGTTTCTCACTGGATCTAGATTAGGTACCACAAGATCTTTCTAAGTAATTGGTATTATGATCTGTACTATACCTTGTTTATCTTTGTGCCTTTGGCATTAAAGACAAATATATAACTCCAAATATATATGGCAATTTATCCATTGATTCTATTTACTGCTAGCCACACGACTGTAACTATAGGTTACTCTTTACTCGTCCTTGTTATGTTTATTCTATTTATTCTCAGTATATTAAATGTGTTTATTATGTACTCTGTATGTTTACTCTCTATAGTTCATGAGAACATATTGGCTTATCTAACATAATAAACTAGTCCTTTTGTTTACTCAATTACAGTGGGCGATTTTTCTTCCACAGACAGGTCCATTGCATGTTAAGCAGTCAAAAGATGTTAAGTCAACATACATGCCAGCCAATACCTGACCTGTCTTCCTTCATGATTTCCAAGACAAATCATGACAAGAGTCATGCATGTGTACCATCACTTTAAAAACAGACTCCAGGACTGTTTCCAGGACTTTCTCATTCTCCTATCCCTCCCCCCCCGCTTCCCCTTCTCTTCTTCTTCATTTTTATTTTTCTAACACCTTGAACTTGAAGTGTTTTTATAACTGGAATTTTCCCAAACAGTTACTGACTGGTTCTTTTGATTGTATGATTGTCTTCTAATCTATCTATCCCTTGTCACTTATTTTCTTGCAGTCTTTGGATTCTGTTATTATAAAACTAGCCCCCATATTGACCCCATTGCCTAAAACTATACACGACAAGTTCAAAGGAGAAATACAGTGAAAAGGATGCACCTGAAACATAAATTCAGTTATTTTTCTTCAGTACCTGTATTTTATTGACATCGTTGATTTATTAAGCATTGGTAAGATTCACTGGCTCAGACTCACAAAGGAAGAGATTTTATGTTTTTCTTGCAAGTGCCTCAGATGAGATTTATTATTGGCCAAGTTTGGGTGAAGTCACCTAAGCCTGCCCCACACCTTCTTCTTTCACTATTTAGCTGAGCCTGGCCTTGAACTCACGAGTCATCCTCTGGCTTCACCCTCCAAAGGGCTGAAGCTCCATGCCTGGCTACACTCTTTGCCACTGACATCACTTTACCCTAAATTACTCAGACTCCATGGTGTGGAATGCAATGTACCATCACCTTAAAAACAGACTCCAGGACTGTTTCCATTCAGTGGACTTACTCTTCCTCCCCCTCCTCTACCTCTTCATTTTTATTTTTCTAACACCTTGAACTTGAAGTGTTTCTATGACTGGTGTTCCTCGCTGATGCAATCTTGTTTTGAATCTCATCTGAGAAGATAGCCAGGGCTCACAACACCATTTTTTCTTTTATTTGCCATTTCACCAGCAGTGGGAATTCTAAGCATGAATATTTTTCATGAGAATGCGATGTGTACTTTCCACACTTGAGTTACCTATCAAATCCTTGCTTGTGACTGTGGAGTTTGAGTTCCAAATGGACATGTTCTATTCCATGTAAATGATGGACACAGGTGCCTGGTTTGGGGGTGGGGTTGTTGCGGGTGTTTCCCAGTTTCCCAGTGTGGAAGGAGTGGAAGGGATCATAATGGCTGTTCTCTTTTCTCTGTCACATTTTGTTCTTCAAATATTTTCATCTTTAAATGTTGATGTGATTGCACTCTGTGTCTTCCACATGGAATTTAAATCACCTCTCATTGTATGCCCTGCAGCAAATTTCTAATGGTCATTCACATGATAGTCAGCAATACCCTGTTTCTCAAAGAGCAAAGGTCAGGAAAGCCATGCCAATTAGAACTGGAATTCGGGAAAATCAGGGCTCAGGAAAACCATTGATGGGGACATATCTAGAAGTCAGCTTGGGAACTGGCCGCTCCATCGATTCCATTGTCTCTGGGTTTTCATTTTCTTTCTGTTACATTACCATTTCTGCTGCCTTTTTGCCTGACACATAGACTTTATGAACAACTTTAATGTTTTCTCACCTTCCACACAGCCTTTATGACTAACTTAACCCAAAATTCTCTTGTTTCCCAGCTTATAGCCACCTCTGCTTCTCTTGTTGTCTGCCCAAGGGACTGGACAAGTGAGTAGTCAGCTTCTTTAAGGTTCTTTCTCTGTATACCTGGGACAGTTTTGCCCTGCATCTGTCTACGTCAAGAATTTGCCTCTGAGGTCAAAGCTGTGACCAGGTGGTATGCACTGATCAGAGTAAAGTCTGCGTTGGAGGGATGGCTTGGTGGTTAAGTTCAGCTCCCAGTTCCCATGTTGGATGACTCACAGCCACCTGTAATTACAGTTCCAGGGGATCCCACTTCTTCTTCTTCCACGAGCCCTTCAACTCATTCATGCACATACTCTTTCTTCCCACACACATGTACATTTAATTAAAAAGGAAATAATTTAAAGATGTAAACCTTTATGCTGAGGAAAACTTAACACAAATTAGAAGTGACGTGACAGCCTGTGATCTCATAAAATCCAAACCACCAATAGTAGTTCTAAGGGAATGTTGCACTGCACTGGCCCCTGATACACTGCACTGACCCCTGATGCACTGCACTGACCCCTGATGGACTGCACTCACCATTGTTGCACTGCACTGGCCACTGATGAACTGCACTGATCCCTGATGAACTGCACTGACCTCTGATGCACTGCACTGGCCACTGATGGACTGCACTGACCCCTGATGCACTGCACTGACCCCTGATGCACTGCACTGACCCCTGATGCACTGCACTGACCCCTGATGAACTGCACTGACTCCTGATGGACTGCACTGACCCCTGATGCACTGCACTGGCCACTGATGCACTGCACTGACTATTGTTGCACTGCACTGGCCACTGATGCACTGCACTGACCCCTGATGGACTGCACTGACCCCTGATGAACTGCACTGACCACTGATGCAATGTACTAGCCACTGGCTACTTTCATCTTTTAGGGGGAAGGGTGTTTAAAGACAAAGTCCTTCCTGTTCTGCTTATCACATGATCAAATCAGCTGACTGACAAAAACTTTTGTTTCCAGTGTCTCCCAGCCTACTTCTGCCGTGGCTGGAGGAAAAGTACAAAGAAAAATGTGGGGTGTTTTTGAAAACAAGAAATCAAAACAAACATCTACCACAAGGAATCACCTCCAGATACTGGCTTTTAAGCCCAAATTTGACTTTCCAATTGAAATGACTATACCACACGGCTTCCATGAGACATTTGACACAACCATTCAAGCAGGCAGTCACACATGTCCAGAGCACACTCACCTGCCATATTAGGGTTTCTGACCCATAGACTTTACATGCATTCTTCATTTCTCCCAGAAACCTTCCAACCCCAGACATTTAAAAGTGCCAAGCATTTAACCTTCACA